ATTATCTATGTGAGGTCAAATTGACAACAGCAACTCAAAAGGTTTGATGGGAAGCCTAAGGGGAAGTCAGTTGAAGATAATGGTGATGTAATGATTTGGAAAAAGATAGTAAGAATAGCAGCACAACTGGAAGAATGTAATTGATGTCACTGAATTGTACATGTAGAAACTTTTGAAATGGTGTAACTTTGGCTATGTATATTTTCACCAAATAAAAGGTCCTCCGAGGTCTAGATGGGAAAGTGTTGACATGTCGTGGGATTGTTAACCAATGTCATAAAAGAATATGTGTACTGACTGTTTAATGAGAAACTATTTGTTCTGTAAACCTTCATCGAAAGTACAATAAAAAATAAATAAATAAGTTTGTGAGCGGCCATCTAAGATACTCCACTTGTCCCACCTCATCTGGATCAAGGGAGAATGAAGAAAACCAAGGACACAAGGGAAAGATTAGTCCAAAGGTCTAATGAACCACAACTACCACAGCTCCACCCAACTGAGTCCAGCACAACTAGATGTTGCCCGGCTACCACCACCAGCTGCTCTGACAGGAATCACAGTAGAGGACCCTGGACAGAGCTGGAGAAACAGGTAGAACAAAATCCTAACTCACAAAAAAGAACAGACTTGTGGTCCAACAGAGACTGGAGAAACCCTGAGAGTATGGCTGACAGACACACTTTTGACTCAGTTCTGAAGTCAATCCTGAGGTTCACCCTTTAGTCAAAGATTATACAGGACCATAAAACAAAATGAGACTAAATGGGCACGCTACCCCAGGGGCAAGGACGGGAAGGCAGTAGGGGACAGGAAGGCTGGTATCAGGGAACCCAAGGTCGAGAAGGGGAGAGTGTTGATGCTGTGGAGTTGGCAACCAATGTCAAAAAACAATATGTGTATTAATTGTTTAATGAGAAACTAATTTGCTCTGTAAACTTTCATCTAAAGTACAATTAAAAAAAAAAAAAAGTCCAAGCAAGAGATAATGGGATCCTGAATTCTGGGAAGATAGCAGTATGAGCAGGTCTAACCTTCCCATGTAAACACCAAGAAAAGTAGCTACAAATATGTAATCTCAACACTGTAGAATCTCTGAAAATTAGAGGATTGCAGAAACTAACTACACAATGACACAAGAAAAAAGGTGACTTTTAATCAGTAGGAAAACTTCTTTTTCTTCTGCTTCTCTTCACCTTCCCAGCATGGCAGCTGGGTGGCTAGATCTAACAGACATATATAGAGCACTCCACTCAACAACGGCACAGTACACATTCTTCTTCAGGGCACATGGATCATTCTCCAGGATAGATCATATGCTATGTCACACACACACACAAAAATCTCTAACGATAATGGAATGAACTAAAAATTAATAACAGAGGGAAACTGGAAAATGCACAAATATGTGGCAATTAAAAACGTACTATGAAACAACCAATGGTCTTAGGAAAAATCAAGAGAGACATCAGAAAATACTTAGAATTGAATGAAAATGAAATCATGTCATACAAAGAATGCAGCAAATGCAGTGCTCAGAGAGAAGTTCATAGCAATAAATACCTACATTAAAAAGAAGAAAGATATCAAATCAATACATTGCAACTCGAGGAACTAGAATAAGAAGAGAAAACCAAGCACTAGCATTAAGAAGGCTATGGTCAATAATAAAAAAAAGAAAAGAACGCAACAGGTGTTGATGAGGATGTGGAGAAATTGGAACACTCGTCCATTGTTAGTGTGATTGTAAAATAGTGCAACCACTGTGGAAAACAGTTTGGTGATTCCTCAAAAACTTAAATCTAGAATTATAATGGAGGCCTGGTGGTGCAGTGGCTTGACTGCTAACCAAAAAGTGGGCAGTTCAAATCCATCAGCTGCTCCTTGGAAACCCTATGGGGCAGTTCTACTCTGTCATATAGGGTTGTATGAGTATGATCCAGCAATTCCACTGCTAGGTATATACTCAAAATAATTGAAAGCAGGAATGCAAACAGATACTTTTACATAAATGTTCATTCCAACAGTGCTCACAATAGCCAAAAGGTGAAAACAACCAAAATATCTATCAACAAATGAATGGATAAACAAAATGTGGTACATAGATACAATGGAATATTTCTCAGTCATAAAGAGAAATGGAGTCCTGATACATGCTACAACATGAATAAACCTTGAAGACATTATGCTGAGTGAAATAAGTCAGTCACAAAAGGACAAATATTGTACAATCCCACTTACATGAAATATCTAGGATAGGCAATTGTGTAAAGACCAAAGTTTGTTAGTGGTTACCATGGATGGGAGGGAAGTGAAAAGGGGGGTCATTGTTTAAGGGGACACTGAACTTTTGTTAAGTGTGATGGAAAAATTTGGAAATGAATCGTAGTGATGGTTGCATAACATGATAAACATAATCACTGAATTGTACACATAGAAAAGGTTGAAATGGCAAATGTTTTGTTTTATATGTATATATAATATATATATATGTGTGTGTGTGTGTGTGTGTGTGTGTGTGTATTTTTTTGTTTTACAGAAATAAAAAGAGAAGGATAATGGGAGCCTGAGTTAAGGTTCTGGGAAGAGAGGCATGATTTTGAAGAAGGGCCTGAGGGCTTGGTGACTGATTGAATGTGTAGAGTGAGTTCTGAAAAGAGAAAGACAGAAAGTATGATGTCTCAGTATCTAACTTGGGTAACAGGGTTCATGATTAGTCATGGCATTACTGATATTGGGACATAGGAGGGCTAACCTGCTTTAGGAGAGGAGAGACTTATTGAGCTTGAAATGTCTCTCCAGTGCAACCAGGAGGAGCTGTCTAAAAGCAGTTAAAAATATGAATCTGAAGCTGAAAAAAGAGGCTAAGCTTTAAAAAGTAAATTTTAGAGTCATTAGCATCTAGATGACAGTTGGAGGCTTAGTAGTGAATGAGATCACCCAGATCTAATGTGTGTGTGTGTGTGTGTGTGTGTGTGTGTGTGTGTGTGTGTGTTAAAGATTGTCAGCCCTGGCTATGTGTCATGGTCATCTGTGGTGTTTATAAATATAAACAGCTCGACCTCATCCATGTCTGATTCAGTAGGTCAAGGTGGGGGTGACCTTTTTTTTTTTTAATTCTATGAGTAATTACTATGGGAAGCCATGGTTGAGAATATCTGTTGTGTAATTGTAAGAGAAAAACCCGAGGACCTATCAACCTTTAAGGGGTTGACAAAAGATGAAGAGCTTAAAGGAGACTGAGAAAAATTGGCCAGAAAGTTAAGAGGAAATCCAGATGGGAGTAGTGTCCTGGAACCCAGAGGAAAATAGCTGATAAGACATAAGGGATGCTCAGAAGTTCCTGATATAGTTCCCTGCAGACCAGCTCTGCTTTTAGAAGTTGGACAATTCTTTAAAACCTAGCAGAAAATTGATCTTCTACAATGAAACTTCTTTTATCATTTCAGCCAGAAGTAATTTCTTTTTGGAATTTCCTTGTTTATGGCTATTAGATTGTTCCTATTTAATATACCCTTGCATTGAAGCTGAGGGCAGATCTGATTTAGATGATTTTAAGACTCTTCAAGGTCCTTTACATATATATTCTTTCATTATTGCCTGCGGCTTCAAACATTTTGCATATTATAGTCCCTTAATAAAGGAGCTAGGTGGCACAAGTAGTTTGCAATGGGTTGCTAACCTAAAGGTTGGCAGTTTGAACTCACCTGGTGGCTCCACAGAAGAAAGGCCTGGTGAGCTGCTTCTGTAAAGATTACAGCCAAGAAAACCCTATGGGGCAGTTTTACTCTGTCACACACAGGGTAGCCATGGATAGGGAGCTGACTCAACAGGAACTAACAACAGGCCCTCAATAAATATTTCTCAAGTGAATGAATTAATGTTTACTGACCTATCATTAAGAGTTTACAGTCCAGATGGAGAGGCAAGAACATGTGAAATAATGACTCAGTTAAGTATTTCAAAGTATTACCCACTATCATCGAGTCCATTCCGACTCATAGCAACCCTATGCGACAGAGTAGAACTGCCCCATAGAGTTTCCAAGGCTGTAATCTTTACGAAGCTGACTGCCACATCTTTCTGCTATGGAGTGGCTGGTGGGTTTGAACCACCAACCTTTGGATAGCAGCTGAGCACTTCAACCACTGTGCCACCAGGGTTCCATATCAAAGTATTAAGTACTCCATATTTTCTAAGTACAATTTTTTTATAAAGACATTTTCAAATCCAATTTACTACCCTTGGAATCTATCCAGCTGATAATCAGATTAGATTTAGCAAGGTAAAAATTATTGCTAACTTAGAAAATTTTTGTAATGTACATTTTGTTTAACAAACATATCAAATATGAATGTTTCATTTACTTGTTTTCCCTTTTATTTACAGAGGATAAAGACCATAACTTGGAAACAATGTTGAATATCCCTTCAGCACTTACTCCAACAACCATTCCTGTTATAGTGACTATTCCTCAAGGCAAAGTAAAAGGAGGGAAAACAAAAGGCAAAGAAAAACCCAAAGAATCCATTAAAGAAGAGGAGCACCCAAAAGAAGAAGAGAAAAAGGTAAATGAACCTTGCCATGGATTCCCAAACTGTTTCTTCGTCAAGGTTAATTAACTCTTTAAAATTCTTGAGTTAGGTCAATAGTGTTATTACAGTGCATTTTAATTGGTGCTCATGCGTTTTATTGTACAGATACATTAACATTCTTCCTGTTTTCAACTTTGAACCGACAAAAAGAGATTTGGATGCTGAAGTTGGATTCCCACTCCAGGAAACACTGTCATGTGTAAACTGTTTCAGGTCATTCATTTTAAGCTCAGAACGACTAGTTCAGTATTTTTTCTACCCTGGTTCTTGGTTATTCTTAGCTTTTGGTTGGTTCAGTTTCCACCATTCCTTACTTTTAAACTTTATTTAGCTTGAGATAACAACTGGAAGAGGATATTCTATAACTAAACAATGGATACTTCTATTTGGTAGATTTGGCAGACTTTGATAGATATTAATGTGCTGAGAATCCAGCAAGACTCAGAGGCAGCCAGTCCAACTTCCCTTTATGGTTAAAGATCATTCCACCTTCTGTCCCCAAACCTCCATACACACACACACACACACACAAACACGGGCTTTGACTAAACATTTTTCTAAGAGAGAAAACACAGATCAAAAGATGACTCTAAAAGAAGGACAAGAAGGAAACGACTGATCGAATCTTGTACAAGTACAAATACTTGACTTTTAATTAGAAGGAAAAAAAACGTGTTAGAAAGTGCTCACGAAATTGTATTTTAGACTCTGGCCCTTTCAGTTAGGTGTTTAAATGCTACTCAGCCTCAGCACAGTGTTTACTTGACTATACTAGATAAGTTTCCCCATGTCAGCTCACTTGACCCTTGTTAAGTAAAAATGTTCAAGTGCTGAACAGAGTGATTCCAGGTAATTCCTTTAAAGCTAATTTGGCTGAAAGCAATTTGGTAGCAAACCAACTAGTTGACCCAGCACATTTTAAAACTGATGATAACGGGAGGGTGGAGAAATGATTACTGGTTTTGTATGTAATGAGATTTGACATGACAGTTTTGTATCTTTGAGCATTTGTGTTCATTTTACAGAATTTCCGCTTGATTTTTCTACTTAATTTTGCTTTGTGTTTTTAATTTATTTTCACCTAATTATTCATATTCTTCCTCTGTTAGTGACCAAAAAAAAAAAAAAATCAGAACAACCTAAGTGATCAATAATAGAAGATTTGTTAGAATAAACTAAGTGTCCAGGAATGGGGGATCAGTTGGAACAATTTTAGTGGCTAACAAAAGACAACCGATTGGAAAAACTGAGATGATTATCAATAGGGGATTGGTTAGAAGTAACTGAATAACTTTCATTCTTTTTTGTTTTTTTAACAGCTTTATTTAAATATAATTTATATAAAACCAATTTAAATTTGTTTGGCTTTTAGAATATTTCAGAGGTGGGCAACTATCACCCCCTCAAAAAACCCCAGGCCCATTAGCAGTTATTCTTCATCTTCTCTGGCCCTAGGCAACCACTAATCTACAGTCTCAATGTATTTGCCTGTTCTGGCCATTTCATGTAAATGGAATCATAAAATATGCAGTCATTCATTACTGGCATCTATGTCCATTATTTTATTATTATTATTATTCTTGTACTTTAGATGAAGGTTTACAGAGCAAATCAGTTTTTCATTAAACAATTAATACACATATTGTTTTGTGACATTAGTTGCCAAACCCATGACATGTCAACACTCTCTCTTCCTCTAACTTGGGTTCCCTGTTACCAGCTTTTGTGTCCCCTCCTGCCTTCTCGTCCTTGCCCCTAGGCTGGTGTGCCCATTTAGTCTTGTTTTATTTTATGGGCCTCTCTAATTTTTGGCTGAAGGGTGAACCTCAGGAATGACTTCAGTACTGAGTCAAAAGGGTGTCTGGAGGCCATACTCTCAGGGTTTCTCCAGTCTCTGTCAGGCCAGTAAGTCTGGTCTATTTTTGTGAGTTAAAATTTTGTTCTACATTTTTCTCCAGCTCTGTCTGGGATCCTCTATTGTGATCCCTGTCACAGCTGTCAGTGAGTGTAGCTGGGCACCATCTAGTTGTGCTGAACTCAGTCTGGTGGAGGCCATGGTAGTTGTGCTTCATTAGTCCTTTGGACAAATCTTTCCCTTATGTCTTTGGTTTTCTTCATTCTCCCTTGCTCCCGAGGGGGTGGGACCAAGGGAGTATCTTAGATGGCCACTCACAAGCTTTTAAGACCACAGACACTACTCACCAAAGTAGGATGTAGAATATTTTCCTTATAAACTATGTTATGCTAATTGAGCTAGGTGTCCCCTGAGACCATGGTCCCCAGCCCTCAGCCCAGTAATTCAGTCCCTCATAACTATCTTCTTTTTTTTTTAGTACTTTAGATGAAGATTTGCAGAACAAACTAATTTCTCATTAAACAGTTAGTACACATATTGTTTTATGACATTGGTTAACAACCCCACGACATGTCAACACTATCCCTTCTCGACCTTGGGTTCCCTATTACCAGCTTTCCTGCCCCGTCCTGCCTTCTAGTCCTTGTCCCTGGACTGTTGTGCCCCTTTAGTCTCGTTTTGTTTTATGGGCCTGTCTAATCTTTGGCTGAAGGATGAACCTCAAGACTGATTCATTACTGAGCTAAAAGGGTGTCCAGGGGCCATTCTCTCGGGGTTTCTCCAGTCTCTGTCAGGCCAGTAAGTCTGGTCTTTTTTTGTGAGTTAGAATTTTCTTCTGCATTTTTCTCCAGCTCAGTCCAGAACCCTCTATTGTGATCCCTGTCAGAGCAGTCAGTGGTGGTAGCTGGGCACCATCTAGTTGTACTGGATTCAGTCTGGTGGAGGCCATGGTAGTTGTGGTCCATTAGTCCTTTGAATTAATCTTTCTCTTGTATCTTGTTTCCTTCATTCTCCCTTGCTCCCAAAAGAGTGAGACCAGTGAAGTATCTTAGATGGCTGCTCACAAGCTTTTAAGATACCAGACGCTACTCACCAAGGTAGAATGTAGAACATTGCCTTTATAAACTGTGTTATGCCAATTGAGCTAGTTGGTCCCCGAGACCATGGTCCCCACAACCTTCCACCCAGCAATTCAGTCCCTCAGGGAGTTGGGATGTGTCTATGGAGCTTCCATGACCTTGCCTTGTACAAGTTGTGCTGGCTTCCACAGTATTGTGTACTTTCTTACCCTTCACCAAAGTTATCACTTATGTACTATTTAGTGTTTACCACTGCACACCCCTCCCTTGTAAGATTCTTTCTTTGTGTGTGTGAACTTTCTCATGAGTTTTTACAGTAGTGGTCTCATACAATATTTGTCCTTTTATGATTGACTTATTTCACTCAGCATAATGCCTTCCAGATTCATCTATATTATGAGATGCTTCGCAGATTCATCATTGCATAATACTCGATTGTGTTTACGTACCATAGTTTGTTTATCCGTTCATCTGTTGATGAGCATCTTGGCTGTTTCCTTCTTTTTGCTATTGTGAACAGCGCTGCAATGAACATGGGTGTGCATATGTCTATTCGTGTGAAGACTCTTATTTCTCTAGGATATGTTCCTAGCAGTGGGATTGCTAGATCATATGGTGTTTCCATTTCTAGCTTTCTAAGGAAGCACCATATCATTTCCCAAAATGGTTGTGCAATTTTTCATTCCCACCAGCAGTGCATAAGAGTTCCGATCTCCCCCCACCCTTGCCAACATTTATTATTTTCAGTTTTTGTTTTTTTTAATTAGTGCCAGTAATGCCTGGGTAAGATAGTATCTCATTGTGGTTTTGATTTGCATTTCTCTAATGACTAGTAATCGTGAGCATTACCTCATGTGAGTGTTGGGCACTTGAATGTCTTCTTTGGTGAAGTGTCTGTTCATTTCCTTTGCCTATTTTTTAATTGGATTATTTGTCTTTTTGTTGTAGAGGTGTTGGATTTTCTTGTAGATTTTAGAAATGAGACCTTTGTCTGATTCGTAATGGCCAAAATTTTTTTTCCCAGTCTGTAGGTTCTCCCCTTACTCTTTTGGTGAAGTCTTTTGATGAGCATATGTGTTTAATTTTTAGAAGATCCCAGTTATCTAGCTTATCTTCTGGAGTTTGTGTGTTGTTGTTATGGATTGTATCCTGTTAATGCTGTGTATTAGGGCCTCTAGCATTGATCTTGTTTTTTTTGTTTTTCCTATGAACTTCATAGTTTTTGGTTTTATATTTAGGTCTTTGGTCCATTTTGAATTAGTTTTTGTATATGGTGTGAGGTATGGGTCCTGTTTCATTTTTATGCAGATGCATATCCAGTTTTGCCAGCACCATTTGTTAAGAAGGCTGTCTTTTCCCCATTTGATGGACTTTGGGTCCTTGTTGAAGATCAGGTGACCATAGGTAGATGGATTTACATCTGAGTTCTCAATTCTGTTCCATTAGTCAATTATCTGTCGTTGTACCAGTACCAGGCTGTTTTGACTACCGTAGCTGTATAGTAGGTTCTGAGGTCAGGTATAGCAAGTCCTCCTACTTTATTCTTCTTATTCAGTAGTGCTTTACTTACCTGGGGCTTCTTCCCTTTTCATATAAAGTTAATGATTAGTTTTCCCATCTCTTTAAAGAACGTTGTTGGTATTTGGATCAGGATTGCAATGTATTTGTAAATTGCTTTGGGTAGAATTGTCATTTTCACAATGAGTCTACCTATGCTTAAGCATGATATGTTTTTCCATTTATGTAGATCTCTTTTGGTTTCTTGCAGTAGTTTTTTGTAGTTTTCTTTGTATAGGTCTTTTACATCCCTGGTTAGATTTATTCCTAAGTATTTTATTTTTTTTAGGGGCTATTATAAATGGTATTGTTTTCCTGATTTCCTTTTCATCATTCTCTTTATTGGTGTGTAGGAACCCGAGTGATTTTTGTGTGTTTCTCTCGTGTCCTGTTACTCTGCTGAATCTTTCTATTAGTTCCAGTAGGTTTCTAGAGGAGTCTTTTGGGTTTTCTATGTATAGTATCATATCATCTGCAAACAG